CATGCTTACCACCCCATTGGATAAATTTGAACAAGCTTGAAGAGTGATACTAAATTTCGGGTAAAAACATTGCAATCAAGATAATAATAGGAACAGATTAGTTTTAGATTCAACTTGTTTCTGTATTAAACATAATCATTTCATTTACGAATCCAGCGATTTGTCAGTAGCGAATCAAGCGATTCGCCACACGAGAATGAGCGGATTCGCTAGCGAATCGTTCGAAAAAACTAACAGCGGCCAAAAAATAACGTATAAAATCAGTAATTTACTCATAAAACTCACCTGTCTGCCGGGGCATCTGTAGGAGCCATCCATATTTTTGTTCCATCTATACAACCAACTACATCGACAAGGCCAGTCATTTCAAAAAAGCTGAAAACAATTGAAATCAAAGTATAAATGTGAGAAACCGATGACAACTGAGTAACCAAGCCTCTTACTTCGCACTAACAATTCTTCGCTCTGCTTCGTCAGGCCAGCAGATCATCATCTCGGACCAGCCCATCAGGATATCAAGCACTTCATCAAAAGCAGAAGGTACAGGCTTTGACTTCGCTGTTGCTGTCTCGAGAACAGATGGATTATTTCCAGCCAATATATCCAACACGACGCCGATTTTGACAGCCATTGAAGAGGTTCTCGAACGCTCAATGTCTCCTTGTGTTTCTCGCACATTTTGCCATCCGTCGAGTTGAGTACAGAGCGCCGTGAACGTATTTCGCGTCATACGGAAACGTTGGCGAAACTCTTCTTCTTTGAACACATCCGAAGAGCACAATCCATCTCCCAGATTAGCTCTGGTAGCTAGTGCACTGATCGAGCTACCAGCCCTTTCGTTTGATTGGACCGGATCACTAAAAAATGCCTTTTTCAAAGCTACACCAAAGAACCTCCTATAATGCTGCCTGACTATCTTTCAGAGTGAAAAAAAACTGAAGTTGAGTTAAAATGTGTGACAGCAGTTAGACGCCCAAAATCTTGTCCTAATAACCTACGCGAAACAAAATTTCGAAAGTTCAGTGTTCAGCATCATCGTCAAGCCTGAGCCACTGCCTTATTACTGCAACTAGGAAATACAATATACAGAGAGCATAATACGAAACTATACATATGCTTTAGGCCCCCTAACGTACGAACCGACTCCCTCATGCGAAAAACCTCCGCAGTGTGAGAAATTACATTATCACTCCTTCCCACTCGGGAAGAAGTTTGTGCACTTCTAAAAGAATAAACATGCCCTTGGTACCTATCCAATGCAGTGAAAGAAACACACCTGTGACTGATTGGTTCAACTTTCCCCACGTCAGTCGCACATGAGCAACTTGATACCGAAAGAGAACCATCTATAAACACTCTATAGAAGACTTCCTCATGAGCGAAGTAAACAGAAGCCAAAAAATAGATCGGCTACAGTAGGTACCTGCGGCGCTGTTTGAGTGACTTGTCGATGGTGTCGCTGCGCTTGAAACGAAGTCACCAATGAGTTCCACTGCAGACAATTCCCCGACGTTCCCATGTTCCTCTTTGACTGAAGATGGCTCAGGAACACATGTCTCAGCTCCTAATACCACAACTATCGTGACTCAAACAATTGTAAACGTTCTTTTCACATCTATGGAGAGAGAGAAAAGAAGTTATGAGTGGTGCCTATAAGTGACGTTGAAGAGTTCACAGCTAAAGGAACCTTCCACGGAAAAAGCTCCGCCCTCATTACCACAGAAAACGATACCTTAAAGGAATCTTCCACGGAAAGAGTGATCATTTTGTCTTGTGTGTAGGATTAGTATTATCGAAACTAACGCTTATGTTCCGTTCTTTTTGCTATGCTCATGAGGCTAGGGGCCTAAGGGGTATCGTTTTTCTGTGGTAATGGAGGCGGAGCTTTTTCCGCGGAAGATTCCTTTAATGACCTTATCGGATGAGCCTTGTTTTAGAAAGGATTTTCAGCTCATGCACAATTTTTATAGGTACACCACTAGTTGTAGCGCGATAAGGATTAGTGGCACCAAAACCACTAACATTATTTCTATCTGATACACTACACTGCTCATCAATTGCTTACACCACCCCCATAATTCTTCCATTTTCTGACATTGATTGGAACTTGTATGAATCGGCACAGCAACCATCTTTTCCGACGTGTCTGTTGTTTGATTTGGATAACGCGGGAATATGAAATGCTGTGTTATTTTGAAGAAAAAGCAGCGCGTCAAATGTTTCTGCCATTTTCAGAATTTCTCTTTTCTTCAACACTATTCATTCACGTTATGTGTACAGTAGGTATGGAAATCGTTCACTTTCACAATGCACATATTGGGTTGTCCCATAATTCCTGTCCGATTTTTGATCAAATTCAAATTTCTTCAAGTCGAATTAGTGTCATTGCGAAATATGTTGGTATGTCAAAGAGTGCATCTAGACCGTTAGCCAGGACGTTTTGGAAGGTCAAACCCGCATCGGAAGTAACTGAGTAGAAGTCGAAATAGATCAATGACAATAACGAACGATTATGCTTTATGATCCTCAAATAGACGCTGTTGCAAGGAGGACACTAGAGAAGATCAGCGCTGTGTTTGGCTCAGTCTCTGCTACTGATAGGGCACTGAGCTAGTGGTTCGGTCGCAATGGCAAAGACAATACGAATTGTGAAAGTCGAGCTCACCCTACCAGGAAGGTCTTTCAGGGCGTGCCAAGCTTTTTCAAAACGGTCTTTTGCATGATATAGGGGCACATGCGGGAACCACAGAACCATGGTTAATTTTTCCTGAACGGCCCTCTGAATACCAGAAAAGGGGGTCCCTAGTTCGATTCCTCGTGGTGACAAATTTTTGCACAAAGTTGGGCCTGCGTCACTATCGCTCCACACAGCTAGATAATTGGAACAGGTTGGTATTTTCAATCAAGGTGCTTTATACAAATGAATCTTGTTATAAACTTTTGCCGCGGCTAGCGAAGGCGGACGATTCACTTTAGCGCTCGCAATTTTAGTGAAGGAGACGTGAAAGAAGTGGGTGCTTCCCGTAGTGATGTTGTGCTGGATTTCGCTTCCATGACCTGCATAATAGACTCCAGGGATTAGCATAGAGCCTTGCAAGGACAGCACTCTCTTGAGCCGACGAGTCGGCTACCCTACGTATTCTTACAAAACAGCACAGGCACCCATATGAATCACTCAACCAGAAGCAGCATTACTCTAAACCTATATGATTTGGACAGGTTATTCGGAAGTTCTGGTCCTATTTCGGTAGGATATCTCAAAGACACCTTTTTTATGAGCAACCATGCGGATTAGCGCCATTTAAGAACTTCACAAGAGCTTCTACAAGCAATATGGACACGGAAGTGTTCTCCTGAGATCTTCATCACTCGAAGGTCGCACCGTCATAAGGCTCTAGAATACCGATTTTGGAAGCCATACGATGGCTGTGGATATTGCCAAAAAACGTATCCAACGCAACTCAGTGAGGACCGTAAGTAAAATTAGCTGAAACTGGAAATGGTCAGACTAGTTCGATTCCGAGATGTACCGAATGGGCAGCAGAAAAATAAAAGTTAAAAATGCCGAGTGTTTCTTGCGCGGGCCGCGATGAGAGTCCCTATAAAGACTAAAAAAATGCTTCGATGTTTTTATGGATAGGTCATCATTCCAATAACTTAGAAGTAATAATTATGACCTTCGAACAAACTAAAAGAGCATTAACAATGTGAATCAAATTTAGCTTCCTAGTTCAACGATAGTGAACATTATTGACCGCGAACCCTTCTTCTGCCGGTTTACATTCATGCGAGCTCAAAAGCTCAAACCGAATGCTATTCAAATGATTTTGATTTTTTTTTGTTGTCTGCTGTGTTTTGACCGCAGTTCGCCTTGCGAATATTTCACAAGCCAGCGTTCTCGTGAAGCTATCCAAATTTTCAAGAGAGTCATCGTCAAAAATACAATTCAAAAAGTTTGAATTCACTAGCAAGACAGTGGGCCGGCTCACATAGAATTCTGTGGAGGTTTGAAGGAAAGCCACTGTATCCTGCTCTAGACGTAGAGAGGTTGGCCAGCCAGAACCTCCAATTTGAATGTAGAGGAGTGCTCAATGTGATCGATGCTGAAGCCATAGCATGAAACAATGCAGTTTGAATGAATCGCTGAAGCCTGCTGTTAGGAGAGTATGAGATAAAATTCTGAAGGATGTCAGAGGCGGGCGGAGGTCAATTTCTGTGAGGCCCATTTACGAGGGAATGCTCCATTTACAAGGGAAGCTAAGTTCATGGACGGCTATGAATTCTGATCAAGAAATATTAACTACTGTTCAATGGGATATGGCCATGCGACGCTTCAGCTGACATCCCGTTTCGATACTTCTGTTTCGAACTTGGCCACAATTACTTTGTCACCACATTTTTCACTCTCTGTATGCTGATGAAGTCTAGTTGTGTGATGAAAGGTGAAGTATAGTTCCAAAATCCAGCTACTTACTGTGGCCACAGGAATCCTGTGATTTGGGTGGCTGTTCAGGTGGTTCAGAAGCACTCGTAGTTATAGCTGCCTGAATGGGGACTGATTTTTCAGACTGACAGGAATACGCTATTCATCACTAACCTTTACGATCGGATGGTCACAAAGATCGTTAACGAAGAGCATATCATCAAAACCATTGCTCATCTAAAAAAACAAAAACAATTCCTGGGAATCGTCATTCAAAGCCTTTACCTACCAAATAGCTGGCAAGCTTTTCTTTTGAAGCGATGCTCTTCAAAGCGACTACAGCATAGCATACCGTGCTGTAACAGTTTTCCTTAAAATCTCCAAAAGACACGATTAGAAAATGATTTGAAGTAGAACACTACTTCATGGTAAAAGAGCGCAAATGAAAAAGAGAAGAGAAGCAAGGCAAAGCTGTTTTCTACTACAATACACATAAGGAAACTCTACTAAATGCGATACCTGACTATCCGCCTTAATGGAGGCTTCTGTTCATTCGGAGGATGCTCTCGATGCAGCAAATTGTTCGATTTCATCTGAAAAAGAAACCGTGATTTATCTCACATTATTGGTGTGAGGGGTTAAAAGTGCTTTCATTACACATCGTTCCATAATCACAACTCCACCTAGAAGTTTCCTAAAATCTTACAAATTCAGATGTTTTAGAAAGTCTCCAATGTGACAGGATGCTAAGTCTGCAAACGCTATATTGTCTATGAACATGGACACCACTCTCATGATCACCAGGAATTTTTCCAGTAATTTTTGGCCCCCCCTCTGTATAAAAAGGTTCCTTTGCCCGATGTCCCAAAATTATAGTTATACTACATGTGTTTTCGACTACTTTCCACTTCTGCTGCATAGAACTTTCTTTATTGTGGTATCGTATAACTTACTTCAAGGAGAGATTAGCTGTAAAAAAACTGCTGTCGGGGTTTGGAAAAGGTCAACAAGTTTTTCAAGCAGAAACAAATTACTGAGCGAAGCAACTGCGCCAAATTTGAACCAGAGTTCACACCAAACAAACTTAGAATTTCTTCAAAATTTCACCACGAGGTGGAATCAGGAAGAACTCTAACAAGGGAGGTCTTTCAGGGCAAGGTGCGCTTTTTCAAAACGGTTTTGTGCATATTGTAGGGACGCATGTAGGGAACACAAAACCATGTTTCATTTTCGCTGAACGGTTTAGCAGTACCAAAAAAGAAGCATAAGGTACTGTTAATGGTTCGATCCCCCGTGGCGACTAAATTTTGCATTTGGGTTGGCGCCTACGGTTTGGTGCCAAATCGCGCTAAATATCAAAATCAGATGTCAAATTCATCGTCAGGACCATTTTGAAGCCAACAAGTGGCCGCCAACCTTGATTGCAAAATTTAGTCGCCGCGGGGATTGAACCATCAAGAGTATTATTCACCACTTTTTTGGTACTACTAAAACCGTTCAGCGAAAACGAAACATGGTTTTGTGGTCCATACATGCGTCCCTACAACATGTACTAAACCGTTTCCAAAAAGACTTCCCTTGAAAAGGTCTCTCATTGCTTTACGATGGAAACAAAGGCCGTGTTACAAAAGAACATCCACTACCACCAAGCCGTGCTCTGTCATCGAATCTTCTTGAAAATTTATGTCTCAACGGACTAATGTTTCGTGCATGTGAAGGAATCCCAAGATCATTCTTGAATTGGAATGTGGAAGACACCCCTGGCAAGGAACAGTGGCAAAAATTGGGCCAATCTTTGCCTAAAGTTGCGCCGAGCCGACTGAAGTAAGGCTCACTTGTGCTTGATATTTTTTGCATTTGTCTGCTATCCTCATGTTTTTCATTATCTTGTTAGTGGTTTGCGGAGAAAAAGTAGAAGGGAAATAAAAATAAGAATAGAAGAAAATACAAATGCTAAGACAAATCAAGCAAGAGCGATCACCACTTAAGTGGGGTCGGCTGCAATTTCAAAATTGGCTCAATTTTCGCCACAGTTATTTGCCACAGATGATGCTGTTGAGATATGAAATTTTAAATAAGATTCTATGACAGAGCACAAGTTACTAGCAGTAGATGTTTCCTTTGTGACACGACCTTTGTTTCCATCGATTAGCAAAGAGACCCTCAGAGCTCTTCAAATCATCTGAAATCACTGAAGAAATTCGTGAGCAGTGTTCTTCTTGGTGTGAATTTAGTTCAAATCTGGGGCGACTACTTCGTTCAGCAATATTTGAAGACTTGACCTTTTCAAAATCCGACTTCAGTTTTCATCATACTGTCTCCTCGAAGCCACGAGATTGGGCCCCAAAAGTCAGTCCCTTCTAGAATGAGAAAGAGGTCCTCAAGGGCAGGTGGCACGACACTGTCGCGACACAAAAGTGCGAGGAAATGCGTGGTCTCTGGGATCTCTCGCGTATCGCATACTACCTTGCTCTCTCTCTCCTCGTAGTCTGTGTCTCTCCGTCAATAGCATGGTCAGGCTCATCAGGGAAATTTAGGTTTGTTCAATTCTTCAATTCATAAGTCAGTCAGCGAATGCAATCCAACAAGGTGGAAGAAAATAGGCAACTTGGACTGACATAAAATAGTAACATGGGAAACTAAATAACACAAATCAAGTGACATCTATCGTGCTTTTTGCTTGCTCTTCCCACTACTGCACCTCAATGCATTCCTCACCTAGCATGAGGAGGAATGGTAATCTTGAAACTTCGGCCGGGTGACCTTTTACAAAAAAATTTTTGACAAAAAAAACCTGTGATGTTAAGCTGAAACTTCATGTTCATTGGCGATTTAGCATCTATAATTATTGTGTTTTGTACTGTATGCCAAACGAGGTTTTTAAGATGGAATCTTTATTTACTGGCCTGACGTTTCGACAGCTTCGTCTTCTTCAGAGGCCTGGAGATAGTCGATGATTCCACCGATGCGGAGCAGTAGCTCACGCCCTGCGTTAGTTGACGTCAGTAAAAAGAAGATTCCATCTTAAAAACCTCGTTTGGCATACAGTACAAAACACAAT